TTGAGAGTTCAGACTTACAAGTCTGAAAAAGAAGACTTCAGACTTCTTTTTCTAAGTCTAAAAAAAGACTTCAGAGTTTAGACTTCTAAGTCTTAAAAACAAGACTTCAGAGTTCAAACTCCAAAGTTCGGGTGAGCTATATTTGAAAAAGCAAACTTCAGAGTTCGGGTGAGCTAACTCTAAAGAATGACTTTCGACTTTTTCTCTTGAAATAACTCTGAAGTAAAACTTTTCAGTAATTTGAATTTTGAATAAAATGAAGTTAACCCTATAATAAAATTGAATTTAGAAATGAAACTATATCAGTAAATTGAATTTAAACTTAGAAGTAAACACCATTTTTTTTCGAGAATCAGTTACCACACAAATTAATTAACCCAAAAATAAAATCAGTTGCATCTTAAATTAGTAGGATTGATTGAATAATAGGACACATGTCACTCAAATGAGTATATTGAACTGTTAATATAAATTGTGTCTAGATATGCTCAAATGAGTCTAATTGAACCACTAACGTAAATTATGTCTAGATACGTGTTTAGGAGGGAAAACAAGAAAACCGACTTACCAGAAGATGACACATGTCACCCAAGTTACTTATTTATACTATATTATAAAGCATTTGGTCCAATCTCTTAAAAACAACTTTTAAAGCATTATGTACTAATATTTAATGCTAAATTACTTAATTTTCAAGTTTACAAATTCTCAATGCTTTGGTACAACCTATTAAACATATCTCCTCATCTCTGATCTATCGACTTCCAACAGATTCTCAGATTTATCAGCTTCACCCATATCCTTCTATTACTCGATTGCTTCGTCCATATCCTTTCGTCTATCTATTTCAATAGATTTAGATAATCTCCATTAGGCGAATTCCTTTATCCATATTCTTCTATCGATTTCAGCAAGTTTAGATAACCTCCATCAGGCAACGATTCCATAGATTTAGACGGATATACATATCATTTTTAATATCTATAACATCATCTACTCATATATATATTTGAAGCAGGTTCTTCAGGATACATAAAGATTCCAAGCTTCCAAGGTTAGTTTTCTTCAATCTTTTGTTTTTGTTTTTGATTTCAACTATTTACACTATATGTATCCTCTACGATATTTTATTTTTTTATTCAAACATAGTCAACATCTTTCAAGGTTCGTTTTCTTGTTTTCTTCAATCGTTTGTTTGTTATTCAAGATTCAATTTACAGGGTTAATTTTTGTAATGAAGTGTATGCATCAATGAAAAAATAACTTTCATTGTGATTACAGACATAATGATCAGGGGTTAGTACTCATAAGACAGTGGAATCCAGACATTTCATCTATTCTCTTAGTTCATCTACCAATGCTACTTTACCAATATATATATATATATATATATATATATATATATATAACAAAACTAATTAAATAATCATGAAAAAAAAACTTGTAAATTGACCATCTTGTCCTTAAAATTAACGGAAAAAATAGACGATACTTTGCCTGAAGGACCAAATCCATAAAAACTTAAATATCTTAAGGACCAAATTCATAATTTATTCTTAGAGATGAGTAATATTTAATGAGTTGTATGAAATATTTTTAATAATATAAATAATATTGTAATATCCAAAATGGAGAATCTCTTAGGAATGAACCTAAATTTTTCCTATAAGTTTAGAGTTTTGATTCTCCATTTTGGATAATCTGTTGAAAATACTTTAATAATGATGTGGAATTTTAATTGATAAAACACTTGAGCCATGTCAATTTTAAGAGGTCAACTAGACCTTAAATAAACAAAAAGTTTGATTTAAATCCTTAAATAACGATTTTTAAAATAGATTTCATATTTCATGCAATTTTCCTTTTTAAAAGTATCAACATTAATTATCTTATTAATCTATTTTATAAGTCTGTTATTTTAATATATTCGAATAAATGTTAAAAACATAATATATTAAATCAAAAATTAAAAAAATGAATTATATAAATACAAAAAAAATGAGAAATTTTAAATAGTTAGTTTGGTATTGATATTAATATTTTTTTAATTTTCTTATGATATCTTTATATTTATATTTTATTCAAAAATAAAAACATTCTTGCTTTCTCAAAAAAACATAAAACGGTATTATAACATCGACTAAGACAAAAAAAACACGAAACACTACAATTGAGATGTATCTCGCTGCATTGTGCGAGTACCCTTCTAATTTATTATAAGTATAGATATTGAGGTGGTCAAACGACTTTATTTTTTATAAGTAAAGAAGTGATCATAGCCCTTCATACGGTCAATATCGGATTTGAGTGGTCAATAATTGCAGCTTTGACTAGTCAATAATTACAACTTTGACTGCTAAAAAATTATGACTATGCAAAAAATAGAGAGGGTAGTTTCATAAGTTTTACAAATAGACGACAAACGAGTTCATATATGAACCTATGTGTAATTCACATATAAATTGTTTTAACTGATTCACAAATGAACCCATGTGATTCACATATGAATTAATTAACTGACTCACATATAATCTAATTAATTGATTCATATATGAATCAGTAGGTTCATATATGAATAAGTTAAATAGTTTACATATGAAGTAATTAACGGGTTTACGTATGAACATATAGTTCATATGTACATCACATGAGTTCACATATGAACCCGTTTGCAGCCTATTTGTAAAAGTTATGAAACTATCTATTTATCTTCCGCATACCCATGTGAGGAATTATCTGGTACTTCACAATCAAAGTCGCAAATGTTTACTAGGTAAAAGGCTAGGATCACTTCTTTATTTCTCAAATATTTACCATTCTCAAATGAATCTTTCCATATATATGGGTCATTCAAACTATAAGGTTAAATATCGTGGAGAAAATAAGATTCATATGTAAATCTGTCGAAAAAATTTGGAAAATTTTATTTGAAAATACATATGTGAACGAAGTTACATGTGCATCTTCAAATGGATTTATATAATGATTTATAGAATCTTATTTTAGCCTTACTTTCCTACTTTCTCATGTTATTTAACATTCTTATTATCATCATATTTAACGAGGTAAAAAAGTCCTTTTAGGCCATCTTCTTCTTACCCCATCTCCTTCTTCCTCAAACCACTTAAAACCCCAACTTCAAGGGTTTTGTTCACGTGCCTTTAGAAATCGTTGTGTAGAGGAAAGGTGTTTTTCGGCCATCGTCTCCCCTTGTTTTGAAAATCTTTGTGGTATCGCCCGATAATTTGTGGGTGCAATTTAACTTTACATGCGGGTGAGGTGATGGAGGTGGGAAAAGAGGGATTGTTAAGAAAGATTATTTTTCAATGATCATTTTTGGCCAATGTCTTCAAGTAATTTGGATTGATCTTTAGAGGATAAATGATCAACTTTGTATTGTGATAAAGGCTTTAATTAGGATTTGAAGATTTAGAAGATTGATATCGAATAGAACGTGATTGTGATTTGATGGGATTAATATCAAGAGAATCGTTCATATAAGGTGTTTGAGAAAATAGGCGAGGCCTCCAACAGTTTCAACATCTGTTTTTTTAACTACCATCCATCCTCCCCGATCTTGATCCCCATGGTATCAACGACCTAAAAACAATTTTCTTTTTTCGGTTGCACTTTCAATTCCTCTAAAATCACAACAGTTAATTCTTTGAGAAGACCCAACAACACTCGTAGCACCAACGACAAAAGTTGGAACCAACACCGTTAAAGGTATAATCCTGTGGTAAAAAAAATATTTTTGGATTAAATCAACTTCTCTTTGTCAATCTTAAATTCTCTAACTGTACACAGATTGGGAACCAAAGATGTTGGTTATTGGAGAGTCAAATAGTAAAGAACCATTCTGGTTTGGTAATCACAATTGTAATTGTTATATGCTTGTTGTGCTCAATTTAAGTTTTGTATTTTCGTCTTTTAAACTCTTGATTTTTGGGATTTTACCGTTTTTGCGTTAGAGCTAGAAATGGGCAAAAAGGGCAACACCTACAGGGATGGTGGATGAGAGTTGAAGAAGAAGGAACATATAATGATTAAAACACTTTCATGTAAGATGCATATGGGGGTATTTAACGGCTGAAACTTAACAACTGTTAATAAAAAGGGATGAAAACGAAGCGAAAACTCATACCCCATGATATTTTAGGCAATAAATTATGTACAGGGGCAGAAAGCAAAAATATATAAATACTTGGACCACATGTACAAATTAAAATCCACAATTTTATCTTATTAGCTATACATTTTGTAAAACACATTGTTATAATATTTATTGTTTAACCCATTTTTTTAGATGATAGCATATTAGTTGCGGTCATTACTTAAACGTGGTCGTCTAAAGCGTATTTAAGTATGGTAAAATTAATCAAAATTGGAAAATTAATTAATTGTTGTTTAAAAATTTGGTGGAGTGAAGTTATTGATGAATTCTAATTAGACCTAACAAGAAAAACGAGAATCAAAGGTAATGCCATGGGGAAGTGAGAGGTGGCATGAAAGTAGAATCAGATTCTCCGAAGCAAACTAGCTTGAATTTATGCCATGCTTGAAGACTGCTTGAAAGCTAACCCTGTCTTCTCTTCTATGCATGCTCTCCCGTCTTTAGTCTTTTCCGGCGTCAACCTCAAAAACTGTAATTAAAAACTTGATCAGAAAATAAAAGATGCTAATCCACACATATTTTTTAATATACAAGTAAGTACTGTTTCGTAAGATTATATTCAAACTAATTATGACATGCTTTAGTGAGGGTAGCTTTGGAAAAAAAAATAGTGGCGATAGTTTTGTGAAAAAAAATTCTCACCTAATACATTTTCATCTAGTAAGGTTTTATTTTAGACGTCTTATTTCATCATAAATTTTCATTTATAATAGATGAATCTGTAATTTGACCATTTTACCCTTCCCACTTCTATATATGGTCTATGCATCATTGTATGAAGTTTTAAATATATTTGTCATAAATTACATTTATGAAAGTGACTGAGATGGAGATAGAGGTGGTGAAGATTGAAGCAAGGAGAAAACAGGAGGAAGAGCCAGCGGAGGTGACGAAATTCGTGGAGGATGGTTGTATTGAAAACCACCTGCATAATGGTAGTCATAGTGGTGGTAGAGGTTATGGTGAAGTTTACCTGGTGTGGGAAGATCTCACGGTTGTACTTCCAAATAGTAGCACAAAGAGCAATGAGAAACCAACAAAGAGGATATTGAATGGAGTGACAGGTTTTGCTCAACCGTCAAGGATCATGGCAATCATGGGTCCTTCTGGTTCTGGCAAATCCACCCTTCTTGATTCTTTAGTAGGTATGTTTTTTTTACATCAAAATTTTGAATCCACTAGAATAATAATAACACCATGAAAAAGTCCTCTAAAATTCCATACATCTTTCATGAAATAAAGAGTCATGCATCATTAACTGTCTTTACATACATAAACAATTATCTTCATAACAAAAAATGTTCTAAAAATAAATATCATTAACAAGTACATATATACATATATGAACCATCAAAAAGTTAGAGATCACGAAAACCAGTTTTATGTGTTGTTTCATAGGTGAAATAACACATGCGTAAATCAAATCCATTAAAATCAACCAAAACAATCTAATGAGTTTGATTTTAAACTGTAATTCATATTGTTTCACATGTTTTGTTCTTGCCTGTGAATATGAGTGTGTTCATACATAAACGAATTTCGGTGCTTTTTTACAAAACATTATATTACGTTTTATCTAAAAAACAACACTGTATTAACACTTACACTCATGTATACATATGATATTTCATACTATGAAACAATACATTCAAACTATTTTTCTTTATGGTTTCTAAGTTTTAAACGAATTTGTAACATTTAATTTTTAACTTAAATGCGCTTTTAAGAATTATTATTATTTTTTCTATACTTTATAAAGCTATTATAAATTTTAAATAAATTGCAAACTACAAACAACTTCCATTTTTTTAATCAAAATGAAGAAAAAATCAACTCATTTTTAAATAAGTTATGGCGTTTTACTTTTGTTAAACCAAATTCTTTGTAAGAATATTTATTGAATTAGTTTTTTTTTTGTTAGATATTTAGAAAATAATTGTATTTAAAAGCATGATAATATTATGTTAAATATGTTACATTGGATTAGTGTGAGATGGTAAGTTGAGTTGTGAAAATAATGTGAATGTAGCTCATATTTCATTTCATTTCATTTCCCGCTCAAACAAAAATGAAAATCATTTAATAATATACTGAGATTGGTTTTTACAGATTTGTAGCTTTTTTATTTATGATTTTCACATGATTAGTCTTACACACACATACATATATATACATATATATATATATATATAACTGGAATCGCATAGAAACGTTTTCTATGAGGAAACCATAGGAACAACTTTGTTACAGGGGGTTCACATAAGTTAACATACGTTAACATGACTTGTTAGCATATGTTAGCGTATATGAGGATGTTAATTTTTGTGAACCTGTTATTAATGGCTAATCCATAAACTTTTATGATTTGGGGGCACATTTATGGGTGTCAAATTTTATTCGAAACCGAATAACTCATCCAAACCAAAACAATTTTGGGTTATTCATTTTTCAGTTTAAACTGTTCGGATAAGGGATAAAGAAAACTTATTCGGTTTGGTTTCAATTATTTTTTTAGTAATTCGGTTAAACCAAATACATTATACTACCATTTATATATTTATTATTTCAGTTAAACTCAAAGCAAGTTGACACGTTATTCATTAATACAAAATTCGAATAATTCATATGGAACAGATGACTAGAGGAACAAACCACATAACAAATTTATAATATAATTTTTTGTCACTTGGCATTAAACAAATTCATAATAAATCTAGTGAAAGATAGATCAGTATATTTAATAGCTAATAAACCTATAAATTAGTTGTCACTAGCAAAGATCAGAGGCTAGAACATTAGATTCAGTTAGAAACAAATCAAATAACAAGAGAGCCATAAATCGTAAATAAAAGACAAACTATTAACAATCTCTAAATCAAAAACAAGTAAAAACATAAAACTAATAATCAACAAATATCAATACATTTTAAATTTTTACAATAATAAAATGCAAAAAAAAGAATTGGAAAATTGCAAAAATAGTTTTATCAAATCAATTAGCGTTATATACAATAAAAGAAATGAAATGACTTTAGTTGAGTTAAAAACTTTAAGAATTAGGGATTAGAGTTTAAATGATGGGGGCTTTGTAGCCATTTTAGGTCAAATTATTTTTACCACCTCTTCAATCATCAACATCAATCAATCAATATATCAAAAAAAATATATATATATATATATATATATATTTATATATATGCATAATCAAAATCAAAACATCAAATACTATTATGTTCCAGAACTTGTGCTTTAAGTTATTGTTTCACATTGTTTTTTCATCTAATGCTAGATTTTAAGATATTGATTCACATTTGTTTGTCATATATGTATTTGTTTTATATTGTAGGACAAGTATACGTGAAATAAACACATCGTAGCCCAAATATACATTAATCAACACTTTAAATCTTATCTTTAGATGATTTTTGTTTATGTGAAATAAGACATGCGTGATGCACCACACAAGTAAGAACTAAAAAAATCCATAACAACCGAGAGAGTTAGGCTACGAGATGATTCCTACAAAAAATAAACGCTCCTATATGATCCGACATCCATACAATCCAAATGAAGATACAAGTTTGTTTTTTTGTAACCATGGGTCTCATGGTGAGTTTTTCATATCTCGACTAATTTCATGACACCCTTTTAAGATATCAACCAAATAAAGCCTTCTATAATCTTGAGAAACCAAAATTGACAACTATATATGACTTCCTTCTTATTATGAGAAACAAAACTTTCTTCACTAGATTTCATATATAAAAAGTTTGAAACTTAGTTATTGTGAATGGAGGTTGCTTTCTCATATTTTGATATAATTATATGTTCATTTTCAATTTACACTTTAAGATATTATTGTAAGAGAAGAACGTTTCATTAGGAACCAAAAATTGATTGGGAACCGGGAAATCGTCCATAACGCGTTCCTCTTCAAGATGAATATTCATCATGAATAACACTAATGATGAATATGAAAATGTTATTGATCATGAATCATATATCCATGATTAATATGGATGTGTTATTTATAATGAATCGCACATTCATGATGAATATGTTACAATATTCATGATATATAATATATTTATATTCTAATAAATATGTCTCGTGCTGTGTTATGGACGGTTTTTCGATTCCAAACAATATTTAGTTCCTAACCAAACTTTCCCTTATTGTAGTAAATATTAAAGATTTAAAGGTGGTTGGGTACGTATTTGGTTCATGCTTTGTACGTGATGCTTAATATAGGGGTACATGCAACTTTCATGGGAGGTGGTAATTTCCTTTTTATGCTTACCAATTTATTAAGTTGGTTTCAATCAAATTAGTACCAATTTAATTGGTAAGAACTTGACACCCCTAATTTGGAACCATTTTTGACGTCAAGTTTTTACATCATTTCAATTCAACCAAACACCAGTTCTTACACCATTTTGATGTTAGTTAATATTATAACACTAACGTGCCGTTTACCAAACGCTTACCCGGGTAAGCGCTTACCAAGTCATTTTACTTTACCGGATGAATATGACAAAGGCTAATAATCTTACTCGGTAAGAGTGTAACAACCCCCAAACACCACATTTGCATATATAACATATATTTCATTACATAGAAATATAGTTTACGTCACAAGGTCCCACTAGTACAAGGATTCTTATATGTACAAAATCTACATAAGAAAAATTCCAAAATAAATCATGTACCAACACATGTAATACAACATGTAACTTCAAATTAAGTCATCATAAGCAGATCTTCAAAAGCAGATAACATATTAGAAAAATAATCACATTTCCCTTTCCCTTTATCATCCCTGGATCCTACCATTCCTGCATTGCATAATTTTAAAACAGAAAATGAGGGTTAGACCAGAAGGGTCTAGTGAGTGAATCCCTTCTTTGCAAATGCAAAGTGATAAACACCAAAATATTTCTAATAAGAATAATATCTCTAATTCATCAGGTCAAAAAGAAATGATGACTCAAAGTTATTAAATCCAATTAGTAATAATAATAAGAGTTAAAATAACAATATCCGCATATGACAATGCCGCCCTTATTCCAAGTACACCTCTCCTTGATATGTCATCTTTATTCTTCCATCAAAACAGGGCTACTTATCAGAACAGAAAAAAAAGTCACCACGTCTGAAAGTACCTATTCCCAGTTCCAAGCCAGAATAGACAAAAGTCACCATGTCTGAGGGAACTACCTCCTAAAACAAGTTTCATACCAAAATAGACTTACGTCACCACGCTTGGTAGAAACAGTTGTACAAAAATCCAATTCCATACCAAACAAACTTATGTCACCATGCTTGGTAGGAAGGTTTCCCAAACTATAGTTTCATACCATAACAGACTTACGTTACCACGCTTGGTAAAAACAGTTTTCCAAATCCAGTTTCATACCAAAAGAGACTTATGTCACCACGCTTGGTAGGAACTAATCTTTTTATTTAATAAGATATAAAATACCTTTTTTTATAAATCCATAATCAAACCCAATAATAGACATATCAAACTATATAAAATGTCTAAAATATATAACTCATGAATATTTTCAAGTAAAAGTTATCCGAATAAGTTATCCGGACATACAATCCGGACAAAACTTGCCCCCTTTTTGTCCGATTTATTAATCCGGACAACCTACGATCTAAGACTAAATCACATGATTTATACCCAATTTAAAGCAATTCGAACAACACATGGTCGGATTAAAGCTAAACCGTTCAATATGTGGTCGGTTTATAACTAATCTGCACAACTCTTAAGCGATTTAAGGCTAAATCGCACAATGCTTGGTCGTATTCATATTTCTCCGTTCAAAACCTATGTTCGGTTTACATAATTCAAAATCTCACCAACTCCCTAAATCGCATGACTCTTGAGCGATTTATAACTAAGTCGGTCACCTTTTATCCGGTTTAAGAGTAATCCGAACAAGCTTTGTCCGGTTTATACTTAATCCGGTTACCCAATGTCCGAATAAAGATCTTTAATAAAAATACTAATTTCTTTCCAATAATAAACAACATTCAAGTAAAACCAATAACAAATTTTATGCAAAAAAGTTTTAGAAATCACTCACCTTATACAAAAACTCTGATTTTGAAGAAGATGAAAAAGTCACTTTAA